TCTGCTCTGTGGCGGCGGCTCGAAACGATGATGGTATACCCCTGGAACGCTCTCGGCGAAGCGCAGCCAATCGAAAGCATCCCTTCGCTGGAAAACCGAGACCAACAATCAGCAAAAACACCCGAAATCGTTACACCACGAACCTCCCCCGGGCCAACCCCCCCCAGACCCCCGACATTATGATGTTTCCATGACGTCGACCCCAAATGTCTCGTCCCGTTCCTCGGGCCCGGTTTTTCATCCTGCATGTTTCGTTTCACCATCATTTTATCCGTTTACCCCCGTTCTACTCCTCCTCCCCTAATATTCCACCTCCGCTTTTCCTCCACCACCTGCATCTTGATTATCATTCCATATCGTCCTCCGTATCCGAACCTCAGTGGCCAGAGCAGCTCCTGGCCACAATCCCGCCGGTTCCAAGGCAGAGCCCCCCCGCTTCCAGGGTGGAGCCCCCGTGTTTTCGGGATGGTGTGCGTCGTCGGGATTCCAGAGTTGAGACTTGAGCAATGGAATCAGGGGTTGCGTCATCTTCCTTTCTCCTCCTCCTCCTCCTCCTCCTCCTCCTCCACCTCCACCTCCACCTCCTCCTCCTCCTCCTCCTCCTTCTCCCACGTCCTCCTCCTCCTTTTTCCTCCTCCTCCTCCTCTTCCTCCTCCTCCTCCTCTTCCTCCTCCTTTTCCTGCTCCTTCCTTCCCCTCTCCCTCCCGTCCTCCCTCCCTCCCTCCCTCCTCCCTCCCAGGCTCCGGCCCCGGTGAAAACATTTCCCATTGGGGGGCTAGGGGCCCATGCGCGCCGTCCCGACCGCCCCCTTCTCCCGGGACAGCCGCGCGCCGCGAGATGCTTCCGGCCAGCGCCATGGCGACTGGCCGAGACGGCCCCTGCGCGCCGCCGTGCGCAGGCTCGGCTTCGCGGCCCGAGCCGGCCGCCGACCTTGCATGCGCGACGTGGCTAGCCTCGCTCGCGCAGTCGCTGCTGCCGATGCCCAAGCTCGTTCTCGTGCTCGGCCTGAAGTTCAACTGGACGTCCAAATCGATGACATGCCGCCGATTGTGAATGCCGTGGCCAGCACTGCGACCGCCCCTGCCGCCGGGCCACCTGGCGCGGCGCCCACGGCAGCTCCCAGGGCGGATGCCTGCGCTATTGTCGCGGTCTGCAACGTGGTGCTACAGCCCGGCCTGGCGAGGGCTCCGGAGCGGACGCCTGACCCTATGAAGGTGTCTCGCCAGAGCTGGCCGCCATCCTCCGGCGCAACGCCGAGTTACTGGATCAGCGACACGTCCAGGCGATGCTGATGCACGTGGAGCGGCCCGAGAGCGCCGAGGCGCAGGCGGCTGCGTGGTGCTGGCTGCCGGCTCCGTTTCCGCCTCCAGCTTCTGCCGCGCCCGTGTGGTGGCCTACGCCCTCGCCAGCGCCGCCTGTGCCTCCTGGGGCGGGGGATGAGGCTGCTCGTGGTGGCGCTCCGGACCTGTTTGCTGCGGCCGCTGGCGTGGCCCCTGGCGCCCCCTGCCCTGCTGCACCCCGGAGTGCACCCTGCGCCCCGTCGCGTTCCTCGGCGAGCGCTTCGCGCCCGCTGCCGCCACCACCTGCACATGATGCTCCGGGACTGCCGCCGCTCTGTCTGCTGCCGCCACCCGCACATAAGGTTCGAGAGGATGATCGTGTTCTGCCTCGTGCCGGGCCGCCTGCGCGGTCCGATGGCGCTGCGTCTCCGGAGGCTCTGGACCGTGCTGCCTCGCCACCGGCGCTGGCGGAGGCGGCGGCTGCCCCGCCCTCGGCGCTGGCTGCGGCCCCGGCGCTGGTGGTGGCGTTGGCCAAAGACTTGCGCGGCCGAGGGCCTGTTCCCGTGGCTCGCCTTCCCGATGAGTCCGCGGCCATGTGGCGGATGCGCCTTGACTTCCTCATGCAGGATGCGGGCGAGACGGATGTTGCAGCCTTCCTAGGCAAGTGGCCCCAGTTCAAGGTGCACAAGGACAACGATGGGACCTACATGGCACAGCTGGCACACCCCGGCGAGCCAGACCTGCCGCATGCAGCGGCCCAGGCTGACCCGCGGGGGGCTGCGGGCCCGCTGGGCGCGCGGGAGCTTGCTGCTGCTGCTGCTGCTGGAGCTCCGGAGTTTGCTGCTGCGGGTGCCGGCCGCGCTCGGGAGCCGCCGAGCCTGGAGCAGACGGCTGGCGCTCGCACGTCCCCCTCGGCCTCCCGTCACCGCGTCCGGAGGCCATCGGCCTGCTGCCGCTCGTGTTCCTCCTCGTGGTGGTGCGCGTGTATCGGGCGGTGCTGATGACGGCCTGCCGGAAGATGCGGAAGGCTGCCTCTCGCACAGCACTGTTGACACCGACGACTTCGCATACCCCCAGGAACCTCGGCGCGAGAGACGCCGATCGTGAGACAAGGAATGCAGTTTGCCGTGAGCGTATGCTGTTGTTGCCCTCCAGCCGCCCGCCCGTTCAAAGATTCGGCTTGCAGTGGAAATGGGTCCGTGTGCAGCGAATCCCAATAGTTTCGACTCCAATTGTTCGCTGCGGGCCCATATCATCAGCTGCTCGCATTGCTGCCATAGTGAACGTGCCAATGGACGTGCCACGGGACGTGCCAGGGGACACGCCGCGCGACGTGCCAGGAGGACTCGCCGCGGGACGCGCCACGGGACGTGCCAGGGAACGTGACAGGTTGCAATGCTGAGTGTATCGATCTTGATGTACCGTGCCGAGGGCTGTGCTGTGCTGCGCCGTGCTGAACTGCGATGTGCCATGCCGCGATTGTGCTCTTTAGCGTTGTGGATCGAGTCCTCCTTTGCGTCCGAGTCCCCACCGAACTGATCTGGATCTTAAGCTCGAGCTGCCTGAGCACGTAGTAGCTGCCCCAGAGCTAATTGACAGGGGAACGTGCCAGGAGGACGCGCCGCGGACCTTCCCAAGGGACGCGCCAGGCGACGTCCCAAGGAACGTGCCATGGGAACGCACTGCAAAACGTGCCAAGGGGACGCGCTACGGAACGTGCCAATGGACGTGCCGCGGGACGCGCTCCCAAGGCCACGATCCCTCGTAATTTACGCTGCGTCCGCGCTCCCAGGGCCACCTCTTGTGCAAGAGCCATGGCACCGAAGCCATAAACCGTCGTAAATCAATATTGGCCTCCGCGCGAAGTCCCGACATTGCTTCACGTCAGCGCCCAGACATCCCAACACAGCTCTGGCAAATCCCAGTCTCAGAGAGGGAGCTGGCGGCATGGGAGCGAAGCCCCTGACGGATAGTCAAGAACTGACAGAAGTGGTCGAAAAATCGTCCCCATACAATTTTTTCATATTTTTGACTATTCTTATGGCGGGCGTGTCCCCCTACAGAGGGATTTTCGGCGAAACATGAGAAATACCCCAAACATGCCACAAGAGGGTCAAAAGATACCCCGAAAATAGTCCCCAGACTATGTTCGGACTATTGTTTGAATATCTTTGGAGTGTTTTCTATTTTTCGTCGGAAATCCCCCTGTAAGGGGACAGGCCCGACCTAAGACTCTTCCTCCTGTCGAGGGACAGGCCCGACTTGACCCGAACGCTGCCCCCGAGGGCCACGGGGAGTGGAACGCGAGGCGGGCGAAGCGCGCCCTCTGCACCCGTTCCCGGGGGGGGGTCCAGCACACGGTGAAAACGTGAAGTAAGGACGCGTGGTAAGGACGCAAGACCCTTGGAGGCTGAAGTTGGGATTTTTTTGGGCGGCGGCGACCAGTGATAACGGCGAAGGACGGGCCACGGAGGCAAGGACGCAAGGGTATCCTAGATGAAGGCGCGCGTCCTTACTACGCGCGTTGACTGTATGTCGGGGGCCCTGCCGCCGAATCCTCAGCCGACGCTCTCGCACGGGAGTCTCGCGCCAAATCGGCCTTCAGGCCCCTAGGAGAGCGGCGGCGAGAGAGGGGGTGGGGAAGTGAGAAGGGGCGGGCCTCCTCAAAAGGCGAAGAAGTCCCCCAGACTTCGGAGAAGCTTTCTAAGCCTTCCCCGAAGATACAAAACACCGCTCGCCATCTGAGAAGGCCTTCTCCTTAGCGTTTCCCCCCCTTGCTCGCCGCCGAAAGAAGGCTGCAGGGAAGGGAGAAGGGAAGGGATGCAGAGGACGGCGCAGAAAGATCATCGCATTCTCTGCAGAAGTCCACACCACGAGACAACTCGCCGCGTGGGCCCTACCGCCAGCCCAAACGGTAAGCAAAAACATCGGGTGTAACAACGAGGGGTGTGTGCCACCCATGCGGCGCGCGATGGGTTGCGCGATCCGTGATGTGCGCCTTGGATTGCGCCTCAAATTGTGCGATCAATGATTTGCACCATGGGTTGCGCCGACCACGGGATGCGCCATGCTTCATCGCTTGCGCCATGGGCTGCGCCATTGCTTGCACCATCCGCGGGTAGGTTGCGCACTCGGCGGCCGAAAATAGGTTGCGCACTCGACAGCAGAGGACACAACACCCCGGGTTTGGTTTCGCCGTAGGTTGCGCACTCTTCGACCGGGTGCAACTCGGCCTGCTGCTGGTTGCGCCATAAGTTGCGCACTCGGCGGCCACATGAAGTGACGGGCGGATGATGGGTGCGACCAGTCCAGCCATTTCACCACAGCACACATCGCGAAACAGAATTTCGGGCCGCGCCCGAAACGCATGAGGAGAACAAGCAGACAATCAAAGCAGCATCAGATAACTCACGCTGCTCTATCTTGTCTCCTTCGCTGGCCATTCCAACGTGGTTTCGATAGGGGAACAAACAATGACATAAACATAACAACTCGGAGGTCCGCGCGGATTTCTCGGATCGGCGCGGGGGCCCCCCGGCGGCGCCTCCTGCGCCGCCCCTGGCGCGCTCCGCGCGCCAGGGAGGGGGGTTCAGCGCCGATCCGAGAAATCCGCGCGGACCTCCGAGTTTTTATGTTTCTGTCACTTTTTGTTCCCCGATTCAAACACCGGAGACATGATCCGCAGAACATCCACTTCTCCCTCCTCCTCCGGCCGCTTGGCTCCTCTTCCCCAGCGCCTTCGTCGTCCTCCGCGTCGGACGACTCACCTGGGAGGAGGGGGCGAGGCCGAGCACCGGCAGGGAGCCCCAAAAAGGAGTGTACGCGCCCAACCACGTGCTCGAACATGCTCCCCAGATCGCGAGGCTGGAAAAAGAATAAACGGCATGAACATAAACTTTCGGCGCTCCGCGCGGACTTCTTGGATCCGCGCTGCCCCGCCCTCCCTGGCGCGCGGAGCGCGCCAGGGGCGGCGCAGGAGGCGCAACCTGGGGGGGGGGGGGGGGGGGCACAGCGCGGATCCAAGGAATCCGCGCGGAGCGCCGAAAATTTATGCTTATGCTGTCTGTTCTTCGAGAGGCCGCTCCCGTGCTACGACGCCGACTCGTCGACGACGACGACGACGAGGCCGCTCCCATGTTACGAGGGCTCGTGATGCGGTCGCCTGGAGCTCATTTGCAGACATGACATGCCAACATAACACGCACCAGACGAGGACAAGGCCGCCGTCCCGGGGGGTGGTGCTCCGAGACGCCGCGCCCTCCTCGTCGTCATCGTCGTCCTCGTCGTCGTCCTTGTCGTCGGCGTTCTCGTCTTCGTCGTCGTCGTCCTCGTCCTCGTCGCCGTCGTCGTCGATCTCGTCGTCGTCGTCGTCGTCCTCGACGTTGTCCTGGTCGTCGTCATCGTCGTCTTCGTCGTCGATCTCGTCGTCGTCCTCGTCCTCGTCCTCGTCCTCGTCCTCGTCCTCGTCGTCGTCCTCGTCCTCATCGTCGTCATCGTCGTCTTCGTGGTCCTTGTCGTCGTCGACGTCGTCTTCGCCGTCGTCTTCGTCGTCGTCTTCGTCTTCGTCGTCCTCCTCTTCGTCCGCGACCAGGCGCAGGGTTCTGGGAAGAGTTCGAAAGATCTGCGGCCGACGCATGCAACACATGAGCTCATCGATCCGACGCTTCAACCAGAACTGGAGCGTGCGGCTTTGGGCCGTTCTCGGCCTCGCGGGGCCCTCGCTGGGCCTCGGGAGCGTCAGCCAACGGCTCGGGACGACGAGCCAGCCCCAGGTGGGTGGTCGGACCTCCAGGGCCCACGCAGTGGAACCATTGGAGCAGCTGGACGCTGTGGGCCACGCGTGCAACACACGTGATGGGACGCAGACGGACCTACTGGTACTATGCGTCCTCCTCGGAGGCGTGCGTTCGAGCCGAAGGTATAGTATTAGGTCGAGCACGTCCCCCCTACAGGCAGATTTTGCAAGGTAAAGCAGAAAGTACTCCCAAACATAGTCAAACAATGGTCCCTAGACAGTTGTTTTACTTGCTTTGAATATTCCTCCTGTAGAGGGACAGGCCCGACTTAAATATAGTACCACCACCTTGCAGCGTGGCGCTTCCCGAGCGGTGTGGCCAGAACGCGCCTGCCACGGGGCTTATACTATGAGATTTCTCGGCGCGCGCGTCGCAAATGGGGGGGGGAACGCGCACACAGTATTAGTATCAGGTCAGGCATTTCATCCTACAGGCGGATTTTGGACGAGAAACTATAAACATACGGAAACATACTCCCAACATGCTCGTACATACTACAACAATCGTCCCCAGAATATTTTTGGACTATTCTTGAAGATTCCACATGTACAGGGACATGCCCGACTGTAGAATCAATATGTTGGGGTGGCGCCGACACCAAAGCGACGTCGGAAGTCTAAGTTTAGGTCGGGCGTGCCCCCCTACAGGCGGTTTTTGGACGAAAAATAAAACAAACCCCCAACATGCTGAAACATTTTTTTGTTATCTAGAAAAATAGTCGAAAGCGCATTTTTGGACTATTTTTGAATATTCCCCCTGTGGGAGGGACAGGCCCAACTTAAGTCTACGTCCGTCGAGCTTTCTTGCCCGCAAGTGGCGGCAAACACGGACAGCGACATCGACAGCCAGGCCGATGGAGCTACCTCTTGGCAGGCGCTGAGCGGCCACACCGCGGGGGGCCCAGGGACACACAAAGAAGTACACACGAATCTCAAGATTCCCTGTATTTTTAATATTTTCTGGGCTTTCGTCTTCCCCCCCCACTTCCGGTGTTTTCCCACATGTCTTGGGGAATCGACGATTCATTGTGTGTCTGTGTATTTCTCCCTGCTGACACAGGTCACGCGTCCACCGAGAGGCGCTGCAGAACCAAGGAGCTCTCAAGCTGAGGGCGCACAAAATGGACCGAGTCCATCGGAAACTGAGGGTCGCGCATTTGTGGGCCTGCCGGGGCCTCTCGGAAATCCCTCGCAGTCTTCGGGGAGGCCTCCAGGGGCAATCCAGAGCACCCCAGGCCAGAAGCATCACCCAGCATCGGATCGAAAAAGCGGACTGCTCCAATTCTGTTCGAGGCGTGAGCCCTGGAGGTCTGGACCACTTCCCTAGGGCCGGATTTGCCTCCTGAGTCGTTTTTTCAGGGGGCACACAAACCTACCTCGATTTTGACCACCCTCGCTTCCAAGAGATACCAAGCGATGCCAAACTACGGCATGTACTGGTCAGGCCGCTTGACGAGGAGGCGTATGGTATGACTTGGTTTTGCCTGTAAGCGAAAGCGGGGTAGGTAATTCACGCTCTGATTTTTGGCGCTCTCGACGCCAGGCGAGGGCCCCCAAAGGCCGAAAACAACCAAAAGCCGCCCGCTCCAATTGTTTTTTGGAGCGTCGGATCTCTGGGATCAAGGCGGAAGGCGCGTCGGATCGGGCTGCACTGGCGATGGAAGCGGAGCCGCATCGGACTGGCTGCGCCAGGATGCACAACAGACACCATGCGAGCGCCGGTCCGCCTCGGCTCCCGCCAGAACATCGAAGTCGTGGGTCACATCGAGCCAGGTGAATTTGACATCGAATCGGGTCGACCGAATCGAAATGGGCCATGCGAGCGTTTTCTGATGCGGCGTTGCGACATTGGGCGGAAGGGGGGGTGGTTCTGGCTCTGGACCTCTGCTTGGTGGGACTGCTTGGAACGGTGCTCCCATGGGGAACCCCATGGGGAGGCAGGCCCCCCGCGCTTACTCCACCTGCTTTTAATAGGCGCCAAAAACAGCCAAGACCCACTCCATGGGGGATAAACAAAACAAGTACCCCTAACCCTTTGGGAGGGGACCTAAGCGAGGGCCAGAAACATTAAGGATAGATCAAGGGTCTTTTCTGCAGGTGTCTCAAACCAAACCGCCCGGAACGATTCTCGCTGATGTGATGACGGGGACCTACGCGAGGCCACGACTCCATCGGGTTACTTGGGTTCGAGGATCATTTTCGGCGGTGGATAAACCTCCCTTTAGTAAACCTGCCATCAACAAAAAAACGGCCTGGGACCGAAACTGACGGACCTGGACCCGCAAAAATGACGGCCGCGACGCCCTCTCGCGAACCGAAACCGAAAACGGCCAATCCTTGAATCGACGCGTCAGGCTAGGAGGTCTATCGGCCTCCGACTTGTGACTTGTGTTCTCGATGACTGGGGGGGGGGGAAGGGGGAGCGAGGGCCCGCGCCGATCGGCAGAACAGCGCATGTATGACAACGAGACCGCCGGTGCGACGCGGAACGCTGACCTGGCCACCGCCTGTGGGATCGACCTCCGGCGGCCTCGACAGGCCGTGGTGGAAGTGGGCAGCGCACAGGGGCATACTGGTACGGTGCGCCCTCCTCGGAGGCGCGCGTCCGACCCGAACATATAGTATTAGGTCGGGCACGTCCCCCTGCAGGCAGATTTTGAAGGAAAAACAAAAACTACTCCCAAACATAATCAAAAAATAGTCCCCCAAACTATTTGTTTACTTGCGTTGAATATTCCTCCTGAAGAGGGACAGGCCCGACTTAAATACAGTACCACCATCTTGTAGTATGTCGCTTCCCGAGCGGTACGGCCAGAAAGCGCCCGCCACAACGCATATACTGTGAGGTCTCTCGGTGCGCGGTCTGCCCTGGGGGGGCGACGCACACACGGTATTCGTATGTTGGGGTGCCGCCGATGCCAGGACCCGAGTATACTTCCATTCCCGCTTCCCGCCGGAGCTCCGGAAAATCGATTCCCGAGGCTGGGGAGACCACAAGGTACCGATACCGCTACTCCCTGGATTTGGCGGCGAGCGAGGGGGGGAGACGAGGATGTGAAGGCCTTCTCAGAAGGCGGCGGGACTTCTCAGAAGCCCTCGCACCTTTCTGAAAGGTTTCTTGTCTTCGGGGAAGGCTTCGACAAATTTTCAGAAGGCTTGGGGACTCCCGAGCCTTCCGAGAAGGCCCGCCCCTTCTCATTTCCCCTCCTCGCTCGTCGTCGATGGGATCCCTCCCGGGTTGCGTTCTGACCAGGATTTCGAAGCGAATCCAGCGGTGGCGACGAAGGCCTCCCAGGAGGCCGAACAAGAGGAGAAACGAGGGACAGACAGCAGTATGGGTGCCTCCTTTTCCCCTCCAACAGGCAGGTGGTTATAGGGAGAGGTATATATGTTCCAAAGTGATAAATTGAGGATAGATCCCCGCCACGGGCCCGGAGCCTCCGGAGACCTTCGGAGTACCGCAGACAATACAGAGAGCATCGGCGCGGCCAGGCCCGGTCTGCCGCAAGCCCGTGCCGTCGAAGAGCCTGCACGCTGGCTTACAAACAGACCTGGGATTAGGTCGGGCATGTCCCCCTACAAGCGGAATTTGGGCGAAAAATCGAAAATAATTGAAACATGCAAAAAAAAAATCGCACATACCCCCAAAGTCGTCCCCAGACTTTTTTGGGGACTGTTTTTGAAGATTCCTCCTGTGGAGGGGCAGGCACGACTTAAACCTAGGACAGAAGAGCATGCATGAAACCCTGCGCCGGCCACGCTAACGAGGATTCAAGGGTGCCCCCCCGAATACAACAGAACATCCAGCAGGCACGAAGAGCATCAGTTCTGGGCACTCTCCCCGAACCGTCCTCGACCTTATACCTGGTCCGACTGTAATGACGCCGCGTGGGTCCTTCAACCTCTGTGCAGGCGCCCCCAGAGTCGAATCGATAAGTCGGATCGGCGATCGAAATGATTCGGATCGGCGGAAATCGGCAGCCGAGCTGGGAAAAGTCGAACTCGGTAGACATTGGTAAGCTAGTAGGCCTCCATTGGGAAATCGGATCCACCACCGGAATATGATGTCGAATCGGATCGGAATCGGAATCCATCGAACTCGAAACGAATCGAAGCAGAGGAATCGAAATGGGCCCTGCTGTATGGGTCCTCCGACCTCTGTGGCGATCGCAGCCGTCCGGTGGTCAGGGCCCCGTAAACCCGAACACGCTAGACCAGGACATTCAACATCCCTCGAAACCAATTTTCCCAGACGGCGGCACGAAACAAAAGCTGCACTGTAACACTTCTGGAATCAACCCGGATACAGGCCCTCGAAGCATGCAGAACTCACCCTGGACCTGGACAGAAGACCCGGACCCTGCAGACCGGCAACCCAAACCGGCACTGGACGACCACACTTGGCTCTGCAAGAAAGGGTGTCGTTCCCCCGACTTGCCAATGTCCTGGTCAGTCTGTGTCCTGGTCTGCAGGGGCCTGAGGTGGCGCAGATCGCTCGACGCCGGCCGACTCTCGAGGCTGAACGCATGAGAAGCGCCCCGCGCCCCCCACACGTGAGGAACTTTGGACGAAAAGGGCCGTCAAACGACGCGCGAGCTGCAAGCGGAAACAGCTCGACGGTCAGCCAACGACGACGTCGCGGAATGCAATGCGCACGGCGCGCTGCTGCTGTGCTCACTGGCCGCCCGTGGCCCCAGGCCACGGGCGGCGCTCCGCCTGGAACGCCTGCGCCCGGATTCGCCTGCGAGCGTCGCGTCGTGGCCCCCATCACGACGATCGTGGCCCAGGCTGGGGGGGGAGCAGGAGGAAGAGGAGGAGGAGAAGGAGGAGGGAGAGGAGGAGGAGGAGGAGGAGGAGGAGGAGGAGGAGGAGGAGAAGGAGGGAGGGGGGAGGAGGAGGACGACGACGACGACGTGGAGGAGGAGGAGGAGGAGGAGGAGGAGGAGCAAGAGGAGGAGGAGCAAGAGGAGGACCCAGTGCAAACCCAAGACTCAGGCGTCGCGCAGAAATCACGACGGGCCCAGTATGCTCAGGAGGCAACTACTGGGAAGCCTTCGTCGGAAGGGCTACGGAGGATTAAGCCCCGTGAAGGGGCTGTGACGCCAAATTCGGCTGCGGATTAAGCGGGATCGAGCGGGATCAAACCAGACTAACCAGGATTAAGCTGGATCAAGTCAGATCAAGCCGGATTTCAGATAGGGGCAAGATCAGAATTTGACCTCCCAGGAGATGCATCCGAATGTATGTTGTTCGATCTGGTCCTGCTCAGGGCTATTCTTGCGGGCCCAAGGGCCGTGCATCCAAGTAGACCCACGCCAGGCAACCTGGGCCCTCGCGATGTGCTTCAGGCCCCACGTCGCAGCACAATCGCGACGTCGGAGCTGCAGGCAGCCAGCGTCAGGTCGGGCGTCTCCCGCTACAGGCGGATGTTGTACGAAAAACAAAACACATACCCAAAATATCTCAAACAAAAATGATCAAACAATCGTCTCCTGAGTATGTTTGGCTATTTTTGACCACTCCATTAGAGGGATACGCCCGACTTGAATGTAGCGGCTCGACGCTCAGAGACGAAGGCCCACGGCATGGGGAGGGCGGCCTCAGGGGGGGGAAGATAGAGCTGGAATCATCGATGCATCGCCAAAAGATTGGCAGCAGGCCCCCGGTACCAAAAGATCTGCACCTTCCTCGGCGGGGCGCGCCATCTCGAGCCCCGGTCAGCGATGTTGGACACAGAGCGTTCGCACTTTAGCATTAGGAGGAAATCATCATCATCATCATCATCATCGTCATCATCAGCATCATCATCATCATCATCATCATCATCATCATCATCATCATCATCATCATCGTCATCGTCATCATCATCATCATCATCATCATCATCATCATCATCATCATCATCATCATCATCATCATCATCATCATCATCATCATCATCATCATCATCATCATCGTTATCGTCATCGTCATCGTCATCAGCATCATCATCGTCATCGTCATCGTCATCATCATCATCATCCTCATCATCACCATCGTATCAAATAACCGCAACTTCATGGGCGGTGTGCGCCATATCGAGCCCCGATCGGCGATGATGAGGAGACTGGAAACCGATGCATCCCCTTTCTAAGTTTAGGTCGGGCGTGTCCTCCGATCATGGACAAAAAATTAAAACTATCCCAAAAATGGCCAAACACACACCAAAAAAGTCCAAAAATCGCCCACAGAGTGACTATTGTTGTATATTCCTGCTGTCGAGGGACAGGCCCGCCTTAACCCTGAGCCTATGCCGCCCCCAGATGTTGTCCCTGACGGGGCCCCATGTCCGGACCTCTGGCGTCCAGGAGATTCTCCGGGCCGCGCGGACCAGAAAAGATGGCCCTCGGGCGCGGAGTCCCTGGCAGGGGTGGGGCCACTGAACAGATCGGTACGCTGTGGATAAAGGCCCAGTGACGCTGGAGGTTGCGACTTCAGGACGTGCCCATGGGCCGGTCACGGTCCAGCGTGGGGCTATGAATGCTCGAGTCCGCTCGCCACACCGCTCGGACGCCCATTTCCCATGATTTTTTTGTTCGATTTCGTGCGCGCTTGTTTCGCAAGATGATCGAAGATCCTCCTCGATGATCCTGGACGAGAAAACACACACACGTCCAAGCGACGCCAAGACTTGACAAAACATCGATGCCTGGACTGACCAGCTTGAAAAACATGGCTGGGTGGCCGCATCGTGGGCATGTCCAAGGCCCCTGCCCGGACACCCGACCGGATCGGGGACAACATCTGCCACACAAACGCAAACGGCAGTTGCTGAAGCAGCGCGAACAAACATGTCACTGCAGGGGGGAGCCCACGATGAACCCACTAGCTCGCAGGAGTCCAAGCGGCCACCAAGGACTGCGGCGCACACGCACAGAGGTTCAGCTCCCACAAGTCCAGCTCCGTAGATGACACGTAAGAATCCTTCAGTGCAAGAGCCTGAAGCGGGGATTGCCGAATGAATACTCTTCAAGATGCGAAGGACTGTTGGCTGCTACCAGAAGAACGAGATTGTTCGCCTTCGTCCTCGCCGTCGTCCTCCTCGTAATCCTCATCGTCTTCCTCTTCGTCAGCATCAACCGCCGGTGCTGCCGTCGAAGTCCGGGATCTGGATCCTGCGGGCATGAACGGCGCTGGCACTTCTGGGTTGTGAAGACTAAAATAACGGCGCGGAGGCCATACGTCAGATAAAGGGCAGGATGCATTCCTTGACGGAAGGGGGGGCGCAGGGGCAGAATCTATATATATATACACACATACAAACACCTATATATATGTATATATATATATATATATGTATGTGTATGTGTTTATATATGCATAATACCATTATTAATGCAGGAGATCAAAAGGCTTAGAAAGGGTTGGTGTGCGGGCGCAATTTCCCGTTTACCATGGCCGAGCGCCGGATTGATCTGACTGAACAGTTCAACTAACAATTCGACTACATGTGCCGAGCTGCCGTCTTACCTTTCAGCGATATACAAAGCGATCGAGCTCACGATGTAGCTAACAATGCATCGAACGCTCTATTGAAGGAAACTTGGCAACTTCGCAAAGAGACAAACGCTATAATTCAGAACGTCCTGGCAATCCATTCCGCTAACGACATGGCCATCTCCGTAATATCAATACTATCAACGTACCTGCCCATCGGTCGGGTTAACGGTGACTTTATGATTTACATACCTGTCTGACGAAGTAGCAGCATAAAACTTAATCCCGACCAGCATTATACATATCTATATAACACCTCCCATGTGAAAACATAGCCATTTTTTCAGCTGGCGACAGTGAATTCACCGACCAATCTACACACCTGGCTGGCAATCGAAATACCTAGCGACCTACATTGCCATCCAATGGTCAATATCTCCGTTTCTCTTGTCATTCATTTATTTCTTTCTTTCTCTCTCTCTCTCTCTCGCGACTTGGAGCCGACAGACAAACCCCACGCGACAACCACGCTAAATGACGAAACGATTGCGGGACACCCGCACGGGACCTCTCCTCCCCCCCCCCTCCCCCACTCCTCCCTCATCCCCCCCCCTCGTTCTCCGGAATCCTCCGCCCCCTGGGTGAGCATCGTTTCACAGATCCCTATCATTCCTGGCGTGGCCTGGGCCCCACTGCCCGCTTTTCCCCCTGGATGGGGACATAGGCCGCTCCCTGCGAATTTCGAAGGGCACATCCCCAACTGGGGTGATGGGATGGTGGAGAACGGGATGGGGACGGGGATGGGGATAGGGATCGGTGAAACGATACTGACTGGGGTAGCTGGACTGTTCGGCGCACCCCTGGAGGCCCGAGCGCCCTGGAATTTCCACATCTGCCCTCCGTAACCTCAGAGACCTTCCGCGACGGTCCCGGATCGCGGCACGACTGGCACACGACGCCTACGATGGCTCCAGGACGCCCCAAGACGCCTTCGAGGCGCCCTACGAGCCTTCCCAAGAGGGCCCCGAAAAGGCAGACCGTCCATGGTTCTCAATTGATTTGTGTGTCTTTCTGGGGTTATCGTCTTCTCGAGCTTCCGACTCTCTAGGACGGCCAAGAGGACCCGTAGACAGCCCCAAAACTGTCCAAGAGGCCCCGACGAGAGCCCCCGGAGACGGCCAAAGATCGCCCCAAGAGGGCCCATCTTTCCGCCCCAAGAGGCTTTCCAAAGGCCTCAAGAAACCCCCAGACTCAAAAAAGGCCGCCAATAAGCCCCACGAGGCCCCAAAGTGGCCCAAAAGAGGCCTCAAGGCGGCCACCAACACGCTTCAAAACTGCTTACAAGGACGCTCCGCCAGGCCCCCAAACAGATCCCAAGACGCCCACAAGGATGAACGCATAGTGCCCAAGAAACCCACGACGCCTCAACCGTGGATTTCACGCCTCTTCTGGAGTCAGCGGAATGGCGTGTGTACATACATATGTATCTGTCTATGCATGTCTGTCTGTCTGTCTGTCTGTCTGCCTGCCTGTCTGTCTGTCTGTATGTCTGTCTGTCTGTCTGTCTGTCTGTCTGTCTGTCTGTCTGTCTGTCTGTCTGTCTGTCTGCTCGTCTGTCTGTCTGTCTGTGTGTCTGTATGTATGTATGTATGTATGTATGTATGTATGTATGTATGTATGTATGTATGTATGTATGTATATGTGTATGTATGTATGTATGTGTGTATGTATGTGTGTGTATGTCTGTCTGTCTGTCTGTCTGTCTGTCTGTCTGTCTGTCTGTCTGTATGTATGTATGTATGTATGTGTATGTATGTATGTATGTGTCTGTCTGCCTGCCTGCCTGCCTGCCTGCCTGCCTGCCTGCCTGTCTGTCTGTCTGTCTGTCTGTCTGTCTGTCTGTCTGTCTGTCTGTCTGTCTCTCTGTCTGCCTGCCTGCCTGCCTGCCTGCCTGCCTGCCTGCCTGTATGTATGAATGTATGTATGTATGTCTGTCTGTCTGTCTGTCTGTGTGTGTGTGTGTGTTTGTATGTATGTATGTATGTATGTATGTATGTATGTATGTATGTATGTATGTATGTATCTAATTATGTATGTAAATGCAAACGCTTTTATCTACTTTTCCATACACACACATCTATATATATATATATATGTGTGTATGTGAACATGTATATATATATGTATACACGTCGAGTCATATGTTTCACAGGTCGGGGGATTCCGCCAAACAAAACAACAAATAAACAACACCTAACGAATATGGCCCACCCTGGGCCTTTCGGGCAGCTCCCCAGACGACCTGGGAGAACCTCACGAGAGCCCCAAAACGGCCCCAGAGGACCCTCGACGTTCCGACGCGCTCCCGAAACGACCCCCAAAAACCCCAAAACTGTGGACGACGACCCCAACGGAGCCGTCATACCCCCAACAAAAACACCCCAAAACGTCCCAAGAGGCCTCCAAGAGCACTCCCAAGAAAGCTCCACGAAGCAAAACTCATTGATTTTCCGTTGGTTTGTGGGGGATGTTTGAATTCTCCCCCTTTTGGCTTCCCGGCGCTCCAAGACGGCCCACGAGGCCCCCAAGATCGCCCTAAGCTGGCCCGACAGACATCCAAGAGGGCCCCGAACCGGCTCAAGAGGGCCCCGAGACAGTCCCGACAGGGCCCCAGGAGGCTCCAGGAGGCTCCCAAGAGGCCCCGAAGAGGCCCCAAGAGGCCCCCAAGAGGCCCCAAGAGGTTCCTAAGAGTCCCAGAAGATCCTGCAAGGACCCTACAGAAGTTCGAGATCGCTCCAAAACGTCCCAAGAGGCCTCCAAGAGCACTCCCAAAAAGGCCCCACGAGCCAAAACTCATTGATTGTCCGTTGGTGTGTGGGGGATGTGGGAATTCTCCCCCTTTTGGCTTCCCGGCGCTCCAAGACGGCCCACACGGCCCCCAAAATCGCCCTAAGACCTTAAGACGGCCCGACAGACCTTCAAGAGGGCCTCAAACTGGCTCAAGAGGGCCCCGAGACAGTTCCGACAGGGCCCCAGGAGGCTCCCAAGAGACCCCGAAGAGGTCCCAAGAGGCCCCCAGGAAGCCCCAAGAGGTTCCTAAGAGTCCCAGAAGATCCCGCAAGGACCCTACAGAAGTTCGAGATCGCTCCAAAACGTCCCAAGAGGCCTCCAAGAGCACCCCCAAGAGGGCCACACGAAGCAGAATGTATTGTTTGTTCCGTTGGTTTGTGGGGGATGTGGGAATTCTCTCCTTTTTGGCTTCCCGACGCTCCAAGACGGCCCACGAGGCCCCCAAGATCCCCAAACCGGCTCGAGAGGGCCCCGAGACAGTCCCGACAGGGCCCCAGGAGGCTCCAGGAGGCTCCCAAGAGGCCCCGAAGAGGCCCCAAGAGGCCCCGAAGAGGCCCCCAGGAAGCCCCAAGAGGTTCCTAAGAGTCCCAGAAGATCCCGCAAGGACCCTACAGAAGTTCGAGATCGCTCCAAAACGTCCCAAGAGGCCTCCAAGAGCACTCCCAAGAAGGCCCCACGAGGCAAAACTCATTGATTGTCCGTTGGTGTGTGTGGGGGATGTGGGAATTCTCCCCCTTTTGGCTTCCCGGCGCTCCAAGACGGCCCACGAGGCCCCCAAAATCGCCCTAAGACCCTAAGACGGCCCGACAGACCTCAAAGAGGGCCCCAAACCGGCCCAAGAAGGCTCCAAACCGGCCCAAGAGGGCCCTTAGACAGTCCCGACAGGGCCCCAGGAGGCCCCAGGAGGCACCCACGATGCCCCGGACAAGCCCCAAAAGGCCCCCCAAGAGCCCCAAAAGATCCCACAGAAGTTCGAAAACACCCGAACAGGCCCCCAAGACAGACCCAACACAGGCCAGGAGCCCGAACATGACCCCAAGACAGCCAAATAGAGCCAATGAGCGCCCCAAGACGGGCCCGAGCCATAACGGAACCATCACGTCCGACAGATGCCCTCAGAAGCCTCCGGGAGGCTCCAATAAGGTCCACGTGACGTTAACACTCTGAACGCGAGGCTTCACAAGAGCGAACGGCGGCGCAAAGCAACTTCGGCGTCGAGATGATCGAGCCCCCCTGCGACACGGTCCCGAGGCCCCCTAAGGCGCTCACACGGCTCCTTCCACAAACCCAAAGACACGGTCATTGGTAAGCCCGGGTAGCCGTTCCACATTCTGACGTGTCCTCCATCCTGTCTCCTACCCAAGTCTTTCGGCACTCGCGAGCCCTTCACTGCGTTTCTGCCCCCGCTCTGTGGCCACGACCTCGTACATATATATATATATATATATATGGACATGCGTATGTGTACACGTAGATATGCCCACGTAGACATCGTACATCTGCATGCGCAATCACGGATACATATATCTATATGTGTAAATATTACATGCACATACAAAATTGTAGACACACCTATATATTTACATACATACATACATACATACATACATACATACATACATACATACATACATACGTACATACACACATACATACATACATACATACATACATACATGCATACATACATACATACATACATACATACATACATATGTGTGTACGCGCATCGATATACACACGCGTATATATATCTACATACACATGTGTATATGCCTACATAGGAATGGCGTGCATGTGCGTGCGAGCGTATGACATGTATGCACAT